AAATCGGTCCAGCAGTTCTCGAGTTATAAGTGTTATAACCCGACTTTGTTTTATAATTATATAGAATTATAGATAATTAATTATATCTGCTTAAAAATACATGCGAAGTTACTATATATATATTTAATATAGTACCGCGTCTAAATATAGGACTGTCTATTACATATTTATCATCTACATATATGTACATTTTTACCATACATTGTTTTCGTTTATTTACAACCGTTTATACATCGCATATCGATAAGGTAACCTAGCAACGCTTTTTATGCCAACTTGACTCACTAATACCGTCAATAACTCCTGTTAGGACTAATACACAAAATAAATCGTGGGCTCTAACAGCAAAAACCACATCCATACTCGTTCAGTAGTTACGCCTCGAGATTAACGCGCACATACATACATAGATACATACATACGTACATACATACATACCTACATACATACATACATACATACATACATACATACATACATACATACATACATACATACATACATACATACATATGTACATACAGACGTTCGCCGCGACCTTTTTTATATGTTACACATTAGATTAGTGATATTAATTATAAAAGTTTTACTTTTAGTCTCAATATAAATCCCAATAGTTGAGACTCGTGAGAGTGCCGCCACATTTGTGTTAGCTTTCCGCTTATATATTTCTATTCACAGTGTTATGTTACGAGTACTTTATTTACAATTTCTTACTTACCGTAGTGCTTGATGTTTTTAATTTTTGTATTTATTTGCAAAAATTAGATTTTTTTACTATCCAGTGAGTTGAAGGTAGGCAAATTAAACACCCATATTTCATGTTTTAACGAATAACTTGAGCGGATCGGCTGGCAAAAGTCAATAAATTTAAGCTTTCTGCAGCCCGTATCCATGTCAACTTTAACCATGCTAAAGCTTGCTCCTTCAAGCGCAATGTGCTTTATAAGGGGTACAAAGTTTTCCGATCACCTATTAAATACTGTCAACTAACGTTAAATGTGTCGATACTTTCACGTCATTACCGTAATTCACAAGTGTTATAGCGTGAAGATGATACATAAAAGATATATGTAGGTATTATATAGGTACACGTATGTATGACCAGCTCTGTAAAACTAAACTATATTATCAGAAATTGTAACATCTGTAAAGTTCTTTTTTAAATCTATATAAAGGATCGTTTTGATTATTATACAAGTTTTACAAAAAAAAAGGGAGCGCCTCCCTCGAAGTTACATATGTATGAAATTCGAAAGATTAATTCTGTATTGTATTGTATTTTAAATAAAACTAACTTTTCCAATTTGGTCGCGATTTTATTTTTGTAAACATTGAAATTTTCATGTGCGAATCATTTCTAACACGATTACCACTTGCCTTACTGCCTTACGGTGAAGGAAAACGGCAAGAAAATATGCCTGGCTGAGAAAACCTAGCAAGTTTTCGAAAGACTATGGCCTGATCCACCTCATATTGAAGGGAGGCCGGTGCTTAGTAGTGGGACGTTAAAAAGGGCCGAATACGTGTTCCCAACGTTTAAGCGTCCTGTATACCGTTACAGCAAACAAGGTCACGGAGAGAATCTATCAAGTCGACTAGATAGTTTTATTAAAAATGTCAGATATTAGTACCTATAGGCAGGCAGTAGTAAATACGCATACTATATAGATACTCATGGTATCTATTAGTCCATCAGAAACAATGAGTTGCGTCCCGCTCGTAAACAAGGTGCTATTTATATCGTCCGCTCGTGTATGTATTTACGTATGATTGTTTATCAATTGTCACTGCCACCGGGTCACTTAGCAAAGTTACCAATACTTTATTGCCATACACATAGGTATATGTAGATTGTGTGATCTGCTAATTTATATGTACTTGTTTATCGTTGTATTCTAATAACTTATCTATGTATAATATTTTCTTAGATTTACGCGAATATTTGACATTTTAAATTAAAGTAGCTTGTCGGAGCTTGTCTTATTTCATGGATTTATTTGATTTGGTTTTTGGTTCAATCAATCAGTTCAATCATTGTCACGGGAGAGACTAAGGTTTTACACGCCTCGAAGGCGTTACAGACAGTGTTATATGTCTATAGTTATCCTTACTAGCGATAGGAACCTGATAATTTATATGGAGACATTGTTTATCTCTTCTATTAATTCTATCACTTCTTTGTAAAGTGAACCACATATAGATAGGTAATAGATAATAGTCATGTATACTATATAGTGTTAGGAACACTGGTTTTGGTTTTTTGAAATTTTATCTATCGATATTAAGCATGTCATTAATTAGAAATTATAATTTTTTATTTTAATTTTTCTGCGACCTTTCCCAGAAAAATTGTCTTTTTTTTTCAAATTACCCAGAAAGGCCCTATTGTGGGACGCTACATGCGTTGACACATTGGCCCCGTCCCATGTCGGGGAGACGGCGTCTAAAGTGGGAGCTGCGGCGGAGATGGCTGAACTTAAGTTGCGTAAATACGCCTCCCTTAGTCAAAATAATTTTTTTATTCCATTTGCTGTAGAAACCCTTGGCCAATGGAGTCAAAGTCCTAAGCACTTCTTAAAAGACATAGCACCTCGACTTATCGCCTCTACTGGTGACAGGAGGGCTGGCGCATTTTCCGCCCAAAGAATCGGCATTGCCATTCAGCGGGGGAATGTGGCTAGCATTCTTGCCACTATTCCACGCGGACATGACTTGTACAGTAATAACTGAGTGTACATTTGTTTTGTATATATAATTAAGTATATTTGTAATTTTCTTTATTGTAAATAAATTGTACTGTTGCATGAGAAAAAAAACTAAATAGAGATTAAATTGAGAAAATAATTTGTTATATCGTGGACACGGGCCTTAATGTATGGGGGATCTTGCCACAGTCCACCAGCTTTATTTTATTTTTTTATTGACCTACTTCAAAAATAGGAAGGTTGTCTGGTCGGTGGGTTTTTTTTACTTTATGATATTTTCGGCAATTCTGCACTAGTAGCTATGAATATTATCATCATTATTTTTTTAAATAACGAGATTATACTTCAAGGACCATATAAATTTTCAAACAAAATCCACCCCTGAGGATGGAATTATTTTTGAAGTCAGTGTATCTTTTTTTGTTAAAAATTAATTTGAAGTTTTGGAATTAATTCTTTATTTAATGGCTGAATCGTAATTTCTGTAGCTTTAGTTTTTGTTTATTTTTTTATTTTAGGAGCACTCACCGAGATTTGTTGTCGACTTCATGTATCATCTATACATCAATGTAACCTACACCTTAGCTTAGTCCAAACACCCAAAAGCTTAGTCCTTTAACTAAAAAATCTGTTTGTAAAATACTGCCGACGACACGTTTGGCTCAGTTAGTAGTGACCCTACTTGCTGTGCTAGCGGTCGCGGGTTCGAGTTCCGCTGGTTCATTCATTTGTGTGATGAGTACGAATATTTGTACTTATAATATGTATGTTTGTATTTATTATATGTATGTATTTAAAGTTATATATGTGTATTGTATCAACTATCTGGTATCCATAACATAGCCCTCGTAGCTTACCATGGAACTAGATAGTGGTGTGTAATGTCCATATTTATTTACTGCATCATAATTTTTCTTTTATTTTTGCTTCCTATATATAATACGAGTATGTATCACATGTACTCTAATATATGTAAAATAGCAAAGTAAATTAAACAAAAAAATGTATCTTCCTGTTGTTTTGTAGGCGTTTTGTCAACAAATAATGATTTATCAAAATAACTTTTGTTTATTTACTGACCTTAAGACTCTAACCTTTATATATATTGTATTATCGTCCGGATATTTAGATATTAGCTAAATTCGCATTTATATATATTTACCTAACGAATGTAGTGAGACAGTTGCTTTATATGCTTTTACCTTAAATAATATAGATATTTCTGTTACATATATATATATAAATATATTGGCACTTTGACACACAGAATCATCTAGTTCCATGGTAAGCTACGAGGCATGTGTTATGGGTACCAGATAGTTGATACACTACACATATATAACTTTAAATACATACATATTATAAATATAAACACCCATGACTGGAGTACAAACGAATGCCCCCAGCGGGACTCGAACCCGCGACCGTTCGCACAGCAAGTAGGGTCACCACAAACTGAGCCAAAAGTTTTGTCAATATATGTATGTATGTGCATACGTTTTATCTTAACTTTTGAAATTTTCTTCTTTAAATATGTTTGGGCTTGACAAATAATTGAATAGACTGAAGAAAATTAGTCGAGAGTTAGGATTCAATTAATTTTTTATTTAATGACTTTAATACGTGCCAGGTGAGCATAATTTATTCCAGGTTGGAACATCTTCGTTTCAAAAATATTGGCAAAAATATAAAAACACTTGTAATAGAAAATTTAATCTCTTCTTGTTATTTTGTTATTATGCGCGAATAGTTCTTGTAACAGCTCTTTATAAAACTTTAATAATATTCGAGCCCTTGTGAACTAAAAACATCGATATAAACTTATTCCCAATAGATGATGTCTCTCACGAAATTTCGAAATTTGAATCCTCGTCGAAATTGAGCGCCATTTGATTTTTTGCAATTGCGGCAAATGATTAACTTTTTATTAGAGATCCTTGGACTTGAGTTTGAAAAAATAAATTTTCACTCAGTAAATGAAATATAATTACAAATTATTACCAATGATGTGTAGCTATTATGAATTCTTAAAATAGTATACCTACTCGGATTTATTTTTCTTAATTAAAGTATAAGTTGTACGTGATTCGAATTAATTTATTTAGTATAATACACAAACGTCTAATATGTAGTATATTTTTATCAAAAGATAAAAAAACTTATTTAAAAAAATAATAATAATTGAAGTCGATTAAATTTGAAGAATTTCTAAATAAATATACAGTTAAAAAATAATATAATATATTCCCACAAAATTTTTTTTTTCAACAGTTATAAAAGTTTCTTACTCACCATTGTTATGTATGGAAGTATAACGCGTGTGCTAACGACAGATTCGCGTTGCGGACTGGTCGCTCTCGTCGCGCGCTTTTAGTGATGTGACTTGCTGTAATCGATGGCGTTTTGGTTATGGCACGATGGGATTACATTATTGTTTTATCTTTGTTATTTGTTATTGTTAGTTTAATATCCGTTTGTTGTTCGTACAAGGCTATATTTTAATTTTAGTTAGTAATTAGGCATTTTATATTGTAAACATTGGTATTTTAGTTTGGTTAGCGGTAATTTATAAATAGTATATATCGATAATACTTGAGAATACTATTATATGAATAATTCATTTGATTTTTTAACTTTTGTTGCAAAGTTTAAATCGCATCTGACGCGAATACCGTCGCTCTTATCGTAGCGCTTTAAGAAATATGTTCGGCGTCTATTGCAAGGCGTACTGCAAATTTTATTAGATTAAAAAACACTAAAATATAATATCGATTCCAAAAAAGGTCGTCACTATTTCAGAAGAAGGATAAAAATTCGTGGCTTATCTTGCATGATGTAACCGCTACGATTACTGTAAATTAGACAATTTGGAATGAAATATATTTGCAGGAATGTTTCTACACCTCCGCGATGTTACCTAACTTTAATCACTGCATATTACATACATACATTAATGCATACGTGTATACATAAAGATAGGAATGCGTTTATTATTACATATGTGTGCTTGCGACGTCTTACGAATAAATTGCTGAGAAAGAAAAATTAAACCAGGTAAATGAAAAATTGTATGGAGGATGTAAATCTGCATTTCGTTCTAATTTTATGCTAAAATTAAAATTTGAGGTGCACATGGAAATTTATGTTAAACATTTATCAATGGTTATAGCATAAAAATAATTACTTTGGAAAATTTTATATGATAAGCAATGTCCATAGCACTAGAGGTCGGGGTCTCGATCATCACAAATAATTAATGATCGTTACAATATTGGTATACGTTATTTTAATTCCAGCGAATCAGCATCAGTTTGGTTGTTTTTGTTATTGTGATGCTATCTCTTAAGGTTTTAATGAATGTTTGGACACAATAAGTATATTAGAAATTTTTTAAATTGGTAATAGTAATTTTAAACAAAACTATCTTTTCGGATTACGCGGATTTATTTTGATTCCCAACGTTTCGAATGCTTTAGAGCAATCATGATCAGGGGAGAACTAAGGTTTTAGACGTCTTGATGGTCATTCTGTTTATATACTTGTTACTCTGTCATATACTTGTTACATATAGTAACAAATATATAATGACCTTTGAGATCGCGTAAATCTAAGAAAGTATTATTGATAGTGGTATTTAACACCTCCAGATAAATTTCTAAGAAATCTATTGTTAACTGTAACGCCGGCGTGTTCGCGGTCGTGGAGAGATTAAATATTATATTCTAAGAAAAATCGCGGTGCGGACTTCTAAATATTCCCAAGTTGAAGTTAGGTTAGGTGTAATATATTGTATAGATCTAGATGTAATAGAATTTTAAAGCAGAGATGAGACTATATAATATATAATGAATATTCATTTGTAAGTATATTTTCAAATCGAAAAAAATCACTAATCGATACCTATTTCATCACATCACTAAATTGGAGCGAAAATACGAGCGGCTTATCGCGGATGACGTAACCGGTGCATTTACAAGGAATTGCACGGATTGGATAAAACTGGCACTCGAGTCCTTCGGATTTGTTTTAGGATTTTATATATATATATATATATATATATATATATATATATATATATATATATATATATATATGTATGTATGTATATATATATACGAATTTATTTATTAGTTGTCTGTTCACTTTTAAATTATAAAAAAAGCAAGTTATATTCGGTATCTAATTTATGTTTATATATTATATCAGTAGGGTTTTTTAACTGTTTAGTCAATTGAGAATGGACGACGAGTTACCGTTATTTACTTTTAAAGTGATTAAAGATCTGTGTACCTTTAATAGAAAATATATACCTACTATTAAATTATTTAAAAAACTTTTTAAATTTAAAAAAAGTTTTGTTTTCCATACCCTATCAAGTAGACTAAGAATAGTTTGTAAAAACACATTATCTTTATATATATAATTCTTCTGTGAGTGTGTATGTCACTGAACTTCTCTCAAACGACTGGACCGATTTTGATGAAATTTTTTGTGTGTGTTCAAGGGGATCTGGGAATGGTTTAGATTCACAATTTTTTTAATAGAAAATAATATATTAAAAAAAGTTTGAAATTTTCAAATTAAAGACGTTTAGACAGGACAACGTCTGTCGGGTCCGCTAGTAATATTATATGATACTAGCGACTCACCGTAGCTCCGCTCGGGTTCGTCCCTACTTACGTTTTAAGGTTTAGTATAGATTTCTCAGAAATGAGATATTATCGCGCAATAAAAAGTATCCTAAATGTTGACCTGGATAACCAGCTACCATTATACCAAATTTCATCAAAATCCCTCCAGTGGTTTTCTCGTGATGCGCTAACAGACAGACAGAAAAAAATCTAAAAACTATAGATTCGGCCTCAGAAATAATATAATAATATGTTGGGACATTAACACACAGCACCATCTAGTTCCATGGTAAGCTACGAGGCCTGTGTTATGGATACCAGATAGTTGATCCCCTATATGTATAGTGTATCAACTATCTGGTATAAACTTTAAATACATACATATTATAAATATAAACACCCATGACTGGAGTACAAACATTCATGCTTATCACACAATGAATGCCCCTACCGGGTCTCGAACCCGCGACCGCTGGCACAGCAAGTAGGGTCACTACACACTGAGCCAAACGTGTCGTCGTCTCTGTATCGATAATAATGTCTATTTCAATAAGATTTTCCAAAAAATATTTCATATACAGATTCACCTCAGTTAACATTTTATTATACGTATAGATAAATTATGGCAGACGTCGCGTCGCGTCGTGCAGAATGTAAGCAGAGGTTATGTTTTAGTTCAAGCGGTCGATCTCGATTCAGCAATTCCGTTTTAATACCATACCTTATAACCTGACCTTTCATAAGCATTGTGTCGATTTAGGAGTTTATGTTTGAATTCATTAGACCAAACCAATATATTGCTCTAAAACACGTACACACACACACGTGCCTACATACCTACGTACACGTATATTAAAGTTTGTTTTTAACACATTATTACAAGCTTTTATTTAACGACCGACACGTTTGGCTCAATTGGTAGTGACTCTACTTGCTGTGCCAGCGGTCGCGGGTTCGAGTCCCACTGGGGGCATTCATTTGTGTGATGAGCACGAATGTTTGTACTCAAGTCATGGGTGTTTATATTTATAACGTGTATGTATTTAATTTTATATAATTGTAGTGTATGAACTATCTGGTATCCATAACACAAGCCTCGTAGCTTACCATGGAACTAGATGGCGCTGTGTGTTAATGTCCCAACATATGTATATAAAAAAAACTAACAATGTTTGTACGTATATTTGTTCGGGTCAATTCTCGCAACTGAATTTTAAAGCAGTTATCTTCAAAGGATTGATCAATTTTGCATACATGTTTAGTTTAGATGATAATGCATGGTAAGATAGAGCCAAACGTGTCGTCAGATAAGTGATTTCATTCTAAATCTGACACGACGGTCTCCCAACGACGGCGGACTTATATTTTTTTATGTACCCCCATGGTATGGATATCAAATAAAGGGTTTGCTCAGAAGAATACGAATAAACAACAAAAAAAAAACTTTAAATTAAATCAAACTCATTTACTACATTACACAATTTATATGATATAAAAGCTTGTTTTTAAAAATGTTTTTTTTTTTAATATTTAAATTGATGTATTAGTTTCAGATTACAAATAAAACAACTTCCAAGACAAGAAATACACACTGACTCTCATATTTTTACAATTATATTTGTAAATTGTAATATTAAAGCGAATATTCTAACTCATAAAATGGGAATTTTCATCAAAATCTATTTCATCAAAAATCTGTCCAGTAGTTTTCTTGTGCTGCGGTAGCAGATAGACAGACAAAAATTCAAAAAAAAACTATAGATTCGGCCTCTGTATCGATAATAATGTACAGATTCGACTTAGTTACAATTTTATCATATGTATAGATTAGATGCAATGTGGGCTAGAAGTAAACAGGCAATGCCAAGGCTAACATCTGGATATCGCACCGAGACGCGTACATTACATAGTAATGCCTGTAAACTGCGACGGTATTTAATTTTATATACACATGAATTTCATTTGCTACATTAACATTTCCGTAGATTCTGTGAAACGTTTCAATATAATATATCGAACTAGTGACAACATCTAAACATACATATAATATAATTCTGAGTCGAATCTGTACATTGAATATTTTTTACAAAATCTTATTGGAATAGTCCTTATTATCTTTACAGAGGCCGAATCTATAGTTTTTAGAATTTTTGTCTGTCTGTCTGTCTGTCTGTCTGTTACCGCATCATGGGAAAACCACTGGAGGCATTTTGGTGAAATTTGGAATGATGATAGCTGGTTATCCGGGTCAACATATAAGATACTTTTTATTGCGGGAAAATATCTCATCTCTGAGAAATTCATACTAAACGTTAAAACGTAAATAGGGACGAACCCGAGAGAAGTTAGGGTGAGTCGCTAGTTTTAAATAAAACTTCTTTTTTAGGAGATAGATAGGCATACTCCTGTGGCCATGTTTGTTGTAAAGTATTCGCAATATCGGGAATAAACATTCAAAACAAAGTAGCGAAAAAAAATAAAAAAAAAGATAAAGAAATACTTGTGTATACGCATATTTATTGAAAATGGGAGTTTAAAAGTAGGTACTTTAAAATATGTGTCAGTGCATGTAGTTTAATTATTAAAACACCATTCGCAACCGTATCTTAACAACGACTTATTTTAAATTTTTATTCGGGAATCAAAAGTCATAAACGTCTAAAATTGCGACATAATTAGTACACTCGTATTAAACAAGTGACCTTTAAAAGATATATTTTAAGCATTTTATATAGCGAACTAAATGACAAAAGATTATATTTTAGAATGATTGTAAAAGTCGTTATTAACAATTAATTATATTTTATTTCTTAGGCGTCTGAAACGGCTCCGGCGAGCTGTGAAGTTACAAAACTTCTGCGGCAGCTTTGCGGAGGAGACACTGGGTAAGATTGACTTTCTTATTATTATTAATAATATATATATATATATATATATATATATATGTACACACACACAACTAGCCTTTGCTCGGAGCTCCGTCTACGTATCTTTTATTTATTTATATTACCAAAAATCCTTTGTTAACTGATTCTTACACCCTATAAAGATACTCAATATTTCAATTTCTATGTTTATTATATGACGCAATATCCTATTTCTCAACATTCCCCATTTTTCATCTACAGAGGATGTCCTGTTGATGAAAATTTTTGCCTAAAATTAAATAAATGTCTAAAACTTTGATTAAGAACAGACGGCATTTTTAATCAAAGAGACTATTTACAATTTTGGTAAATTTCGCAGTAAATTTAAAAATAACGAATTTTCATGTCAACTTTTAACATCTTTTTTATCCTTTTATGGGATAAATTTCCAAAAATACTATCTATGAAGGTTGAGGAATGTACTTACTTGCCAAAGTTTTTAGTTTTAAGTTCATAATATGTTAACATGCCACCTTCGTATATTATATACCTAGGTATTATTTCCGGTCATTAGGAATCATTAAATTGATTTTCAATAGCCGAAAGTGTTGCATAATATACAGATAACAAAATATATCTAAACTCGAATTAAAAACTTATTTTTCTTAAATCGGTAGGTAGGTACGTAACAAAGAACATAATAACTTTTGCCTCTTACTGGAATCGAATCGGTGATTCTTAGCAAAGCAACCTCAGTCTTTCATACATATAAACCAGTGCGCCACAACGGATTTTACATCATCTACCAATTTAAACTATCCGTGACCACAGACAACTGAAAAGTTTGTTTTCATAGAGAATAAATAGGTTAGTAGTCGATGTTTTCTGAGTAGATATATTTATAAACGGTTTCTCGCATATTGATAGGCATGTACCTTTAATACTATATTGGTAGTATTATATTTGGTAGTGATGTATGTTTATTCTTTAAATCCACTACCTACTATGCGTATTTCCTGTGTGTATTTCCGTACTAGGTAAATTATCGATAACTAGTGACTTAGCCTTACTTCTCTCGGGTGCATCCCTAGGTGCGTGCACATAGCGTTGCTACAGTTTAATAGGAAGATCTTTATAAGAGGATCAATTCTGTAATACATTTACAAGTATTATATAGTATTAGTAGTATTATATGTAGGATATTTTTAATTTACATTTCATTTTTTTAATTTTTGCCAAAACCAATAAGCAGTATGGACGTACTGCGCCGACCCCAAGTAATTTGGAAAATGGGCAGGAAGATGATGAATTCGGTGCATTTTTTTACATAACTTTAATAGTATAAGCGGCGCACGCCCAGTCGGTATGATTTTTTCCCGACATCTTCAACAATCATTGTCATATTTCAGCCAATTTACATATAACTATAATGAATTATACACCTAAACCTTCCTCATGAATCACTCCATCTATTGGTGAAAACCGTATGAAAATCGGTTTGGCAGTTTTTGGGTTTATCACGTTCAGACAGACAGACAGACGCGGCGGGGGACTTTACTATATAATATGTAGTGAAGGTAATGGTATGAAAGTGCGTGGTATGATCAGCAATTCCATCTTATTCGTATTGCTATATAGGTACTAATGTTGAAGAGCGAAGCCGACTTTATTAGAGAGGTCCTTAGGTCTTTGTATCTTTTTCGTGGACCAAAAATTGCAATACTCATTTACAAATATATTTTAACTAAGTATATAATTATTGTATCCCAGTGTTCAGTAGGTTCGTTTAATGATTTTAAAGCACGAAGGTTTCTGAGTGTAGTATCTATTAACCTACGAATCTGCAAGTGGGATTCCTGTTTAAGCGGAGTGATAGAAAATAATGATTTCAAGTGGTTCTGTATAAGAAGTCGCGTATTATGAAATCTACTATGAAGTAGATCCCAGGCATGCACGTAATTACTCGCTGTAAATTCTAAAGCGCTTATAACTTGTAACGCACAACCGCTTAGTGAAGCCTTTAAATAATGAAATTTCTGGATTTCGTCTAAGTCTGAACGATTGTGTATCATAGTAATATACGAATTCCTATATTCTAACCACTGATCAAATGAACCATCAAAGGAGGGTAATTTTATGTCCGGCAGTTTAACATTCGATTGCGCTGACGATTTACTGTTACATTTTAGACTTTCGACGGTATTTTCGACTATACTTTCAGCTGTAGCTAAAACATTAAAATATAATGATTCGAAAGATTCTACATACTCAAAGTTCGCTGTATATTCCGACTCGGGTAAAATGAGCTCAATTTGATTTTGAATGTCGTTAAAAGTATTAAAATGATCTTGAGCTGCTTGCATTCTAAATTTAACTTCTTTAACTTGAACTTGAGATATAGAATTACAAGGCAACAAATCTAAAAATTTTTTAAATTGTGTTAACCGACCTTTTAAATTACCTCGCTGTTTTTTGAGTTCAGAAATATCTTTTGGTCGTTTTCCCGAGGGGGAAGCTGCCGAAAGCACTGATAATTTATCTTCAGTGGACATCTTAGAGGTCTACGTGTAAGAATAATGTAAGGTACTCACGGTTATATGAAGAATCGCAAAGAAACGTCACTAGCCTGAAATGTAAATGATACGATTTTTAATTCAAACGTTTAAGGGAAAGGAGTAGAAAGGAAATAAGACCTGACCGTTGACTGAAGAAGTAGCTGCGTCGATTTTCCTTGACGAGGACCAGTCGACACGAAGTCCAATTTCTTGGTAAATCCGGCTCGAAGGACCAAATTATGTTGCAGCAACGATCAGCCAAAACTACGGCGGTCTTCAAATAAAACGTAGACTATCTCGAATTACGTTTAATTTCGTGTTTTACAATGGTTCGTATATAAAATATGTTCGGAGCGTTACGAGTTAACAAAGAGAATGAAAAGATTTGAATTTCTACTAGTCACTATCTAATTAATGTCTATGACTTGTCTATGATGTTACACACAAAAAATAGACACCGGGAAAATCACCGTAGCGCCACACAACGGCCAACGGTGGCAACTACTTCAAGTTCCATAGGCAGTTGCCTTATGTACAAGCTAGATGGGGTAAGCCGCGACACTCCTCCTTTTTGGAAGTCGGTTAAAAATGGCAACGATTCACTAAATTAAAAATAACGCGTTCAATAAATGAGGTTTCGGTACAATCATGTTTTTATCTGTTTACGACCTCGTCGCCTCATCGTAAACATGCTTAAACTAATTTCTATGAACAGTTAGTTTCATTGGAATAGATTTGATAATAAAAGCTGTATATACGTCATTATTTCAATGCGTCGTGGCGTACCACGTCAAACACGATGCCGCAGATCACAACAACCATGGGTTTGCTCCAACGGTCCACGGGTGTTTCTTGGCTTTGCGCCCGGCTGGATTGCCGGACGCTAATGAGCGCCTTTTGACTTTCAATCTGATGATCCTATGGTGGAAAGAGACGGCAATATCGATTTACAGCAAACTAAACACCTACTATATACCATACCGGTCCCCGCTGACTAATTACTCGATGGTGCTAAATATGGTCCGGTCAAAAATGATGTCTATAGATTTCGGCCCACATACACGTTTCGGAGATTAGTAATTTTATGATATCATAAGCTTTTTTCTTCGACAAATTTCATTTTGCATCGTTTTTGTTGGGTCACTTTGGATGGTGGGCTGGAAATAATGTTTTGTAGTACGAGAATGTGGACTTCGATTATATGTAGTTGATACGCTTTTTTTATTTTTGTGTATATGATTTTGATGATGATTGAAGATGATTTTATTCTATAAATATATTTTTTTTAATCTTGATTTTTACGTACTTACGACGTGTCATTCTCATGTAAGTGTTTTTATAGAAAAACATATTTTCTAAGTATTCAGCGCTTCTTTTTTTTTGCGACCACCACGCTGGCCTGACGCGGGTTGGCAGAGTTTACGTGCCTTTCGAAAAATTGCTGAGTACTCTCAGACATGCAGGTTTCCTCACGATGCTGTTCTTCATCGTAAGGCAAGTGATAATCATGTTGGAAATGATCCGCACATGAAAATACCAGAGGTGCGAGACCCGGGATAAGAACCCGCTTCGCTCGGTTCGCGTTGGCCCCACTATGCTACTGGCATTATATCCTAAGAACAGGAAACTATTATTACTAACGACCGTAATATAAAATATTACAGTCATTAATAAAAAAATATCTACAGTTTCTAGTAAATAATTAATGTCATTAGTACGTGGTTTCAAACAATGAGTAAACCAGATAAATGAATTGATATGAAACGATAAACATTCTGATAATTTATTTGTATCTATTATGTATACCAACACTATAGACTTTAGCTATTTTAACTGCTAAAGTTCATTTCTTTTTTTTTTAAAATGGCTTGTTTTTTTTTACAATATAGCAATATAAATATTCGAATAGTTTGAAAACGATAAAAATATTTGCATTATAAAACCTTTTCACATATTGGGGCAATTGTAAAGTAGTTTCAATTTATTTATCTATACTAATACATATTATAATTTGTTTGTTTGTTTGAACGCCCTAATCTCAGGAACTACTAATCCTATTTGAAAAATTCTTTTTCCATTAGATAGCCCGTTTATTGAGGAAGCTATAGGGTATCATCATGCTACTAACCAAGGTAGCGGAGCAGTAAAATCATAAATGTCAACAAAACAAATCGGGCAAACTTCCATACATTATAGTAAAACTGATGTTTATACTTATGTATATATATACATATATCGTCTGTTCCATACTAACCGTTAAACGTACCTTGGGAGGAACACGGGCGAAGGGAGGGTGAGTCGCCAGTAAATATACATATACATATTAACGAGAAAGTACAACTATATAGAGTCGTCACCCAACAAGCATTGTCTAAATTCGTTTGCACACAACAAAGCCTCTTTACTACACCACAAACTGAACAACAAAATAAGTCGTATGACGGAGATAACACTATTTATATT